TGGTTGTTGGCAGGACACAGTTTCTCATGGGCTGTAGATCTGAGACCACCTTCAGTTCCTCACCATGCAGGCCACTCCAACACGGCAGATTGCTTCATCAAAGCACACAAGCCAAAGAGGCAGCAGAGTGAGTCTGACAGCAAGATGGAAGTCACCGTCTCTTCTAACCCAATCATAGAAATGGCATCCATCACCTTCACTAAATATGTTAGAAGCAAGTTATGGGTCCTGCCCTCACTCAGGGAGTACCAAGAGGTAGGGATCATTGGGGGGTCATCTTAGAAGTCTGCCTACCACTCACAGGAAACCACTGGAGGTGTATGAACTGGGAGGTAACATATTTTCAAAGGCTCACTTTGGCTTTCTTGAGTGTTGGGAGCGTGAGTGGGGAGCATGAGTGTTCCCTTGTTGGGAACAAGGCTGGAAGCAGGAAGGCCAGTGGGACTTCTGTAAAGGACGATGCCAGTTTGGACTAAGGAGATCCCAGTGGAGGCAGAGACATGGCACCAAAGGGCCTTGCTAGTGGACAGGAGGCGGGTGTGAGGGAAGAGGAAGCGGGGATGAGTCCCGAACTCGCTGGAGATCATGTGCCTCCTGCCTGTGGGATGGTGGTTCCCTTGACTCTTGGGACGTATGCTCTGTGTTTTTCTCCTGGGAGAGACAGGGTGGCAGTATCCCCATCCTCCTTACCCAAGGTCACTCATTTGCTGGCTGACTGGCCAGCATTAGGAGCACCGGCTGTGAGCAGAGAACAGATGTCTCCTTGTGCCAGGCTGAGGGACTGACCCCATGTCCTTGGTCTCATTGGTCTGCCCACGCTCAGGCCAACCAAGCCAGGATGCTGGAAGCTGCTCACCTATAACTGTGCTCACAAAGTCAGCCAGAGCTGGAGGGGGCTAAAGGGGTGTGTGTGTGTGTGTGTGTGTGTGTGTGTGTGTGTGTGTGTGTGTGTCTGAGAAATGCTACATTTGGAATAAGGTTCAGGGCAGAGAGAGTTACTAAACCCAATCCTAGAATGTAGGGCATCCCTAACAAATACATTCCAGATAAACACTTTAATTATTTACCTAAAGAATACCACTTCCATTAAATATTTACCTGCTATATGTGAAAAAACAAAGAAATAAAGAATTATGTGGCCATTTATGATGTCAAGACTCACTGCTAAGCACTTGATAGATCTCATTTAATCCTCATAACAACCCAGTGACATAGGCACTAGTATTATCCCATTTCATTGATGGGAAAACTGAGGCTTAGAGAAATTAAGCAACTTGCTCAAGGTGACAGAGCCAGGGAACAAGAGAACAAGGTTTGTCCCAGGTCTGTCTGACTCCAAACCCATGTTCTTAAGCACGACTACCACCCTGCCTCCTTTGAGGCTGGTTAAGGATTCGTTTCCTAGTACCAGGGGTGAAACAGGGGCAGGAGCTTTTCTTCTAAAAAGTGGGTCCAGCCTTGCCAGAGGAGAGCGAAACAAAAGCAAGTTTATGGGAGGAGACAGAGCTGCTGCCTTGAGAGAAGGGTTCAGCTCTCACCAGTACAAGCGGCGGATGGTGCCCCCTGGTGGTGATGGTGGAGAAGGGCAGTGGGTGGGAACAAATTGGAGCTTGGGGTTTGCCACTTAGTGGGGGGACGGATACAGAGCAGTGTCGTCCTCGGAGCAGAGAGCCGGTTCCACTGAGTCAGCCTGCCCCCAGGCAAAGGGCCAGAGCACGTCTCCCTTCCTGGGGCCCACGGGGTGCCAGGTCAGCCAGGCACTCATCACAGGTGACACATGCCAGTAACCCAAATGACATCACCAAACACCATCCACAGTCTTATCCTTCAAACCTAGCCTCTGCACCTAAATTCAGATTCCTGCACATACCATACTGGCATCATCTTGTTTACAATTTAGGACCTAGGATTTGGGCTAATTTAGAGGCAACCAAAGGGGAAGCCCTCACGCCCGGTTTGCTTTTGCTTATGGACCAGCCACCACGCGGGGGATTTCCTGCAGACCCCAACCACATAGCTCCCCAAGGCCCAACCTCAGAGGGAGTCAGACAGGGGCCACTTACAAGATAAGATAGGAAGTGCTCTGTAGCTCGGGGAGCATAGAAGAGGGGTGAGGGATTCTGCTTGGTGATTTGGGGAAGGTTCTGAAAACATCAGGATACTTCCGGTATTTGTCCCACCCCTATTTTGAGCCTCTTGATCAGGCATCACAAAGTGAGTTGACTCTGGGAATAAATACAGAAATGGAGCCGATAAACTGAGTCTCTGAAGGTGTCTCTCCACATCACCTGCAGTGTTTTTCCTCAAGCTGTAAGAGGCCCCCTTCCCAGGGAGGCAGCAGGGTGAGTGGGGTGGCAGGGGAGCCAGGATGCCTGTGTTCTATTTCCAGCAGCTACCACTGACTCACGGTGTGTCCTTGCTGAGGTCACAGCTATGTTTTCCTTGCTGGGGGAAAATCAGAGGTGGCAAAGCTTGCATTTTCCCAAGGCGTGGGAGTCTTGGAATATGGGGGGCCTCCCTGCTCCCCACGAGCCCCAGCCATGTCTGCTCCTTCTGCTATTCATGAAAAAAGCCTTTCGATTTGGATTCAAGGCACTTTGGGGGACACAAAGCAAGAAGCAAGGCGTTCCTGCCACAGCAAGACTTACCGCCACTTTTATATGCAGTGTCTCTCCAAACACTTTTCAGCTCACGTTCCAAACCAATATTTCCCCACGTGGGCTTCACAGTGGCTGTGGAAGGGGAGAGGGAAGGTATTTTCTCTCTAGTTTCAAGATGAGGCAGTCAGGGCCCAGAGTGTCATTTCTCAACATTTTCGTTACCAGGGACCCCTTTGATTATTTTACAACCATGCAACCCCCTGTTTTGCAGGCCCTTGCTAAATGCTCTGAACTTATTAGGTAGAAATTCATGTTTTCATTAATCAAAGTCACCAGTTTCTGCTCAACACAGAAGAACTAGGGCTATCACTGAGTTCATTGCCAAGAACTGCGGCATTTGCCCTGGGTGACCTCCTTATAGGAAAAGGCCCAATTTTCACCAGAGTTTTTGAAATTCTGAAAAGAGTTGATCCTCAGGGGGCCCAAGGATCCCCGACTGGGAAGTATTTCCCTAGAGAGATCAAGTGGCCTGTAAAAGGTTCTGTGGCTAGGGTTAGGGCCAGGACCAGGTCCAGGGGCCTGACACTCCGGCCAGGGCTCCAGCCTACCAGACCACTTGGCAGGGAGGTATGGTGCTCTCAGACACACAGGCCCAGGGGGGCACGTGTGTAGGATGGCAGCCCAGCCAAATGCAGATGCCCTGAGCAACGATGCTAGGGGCTCAGACGGGTAAGGAATAGGTTCCCCTCAGTACCAGAGTGAGGGACCAGAGCCAAGCCTGAGGCTGGAGGAATGGAGGGTGTAACAGATCATTCCAGGGTGTTCCTGGAGAGTTGTAATGGGGGGACCCGTTTGTTCTGCCACCTGCCTTTGCCTTGACATGGCAATAATGCATTATTTATGCAGCCTGGGGTGTTCACCCACTCTGGGACGATTCAGACGTTTCCCCCAGACCTGCCTCATCAAAGGGATGAGACCAGAATGGGGGTTGAGCCCTTGCAGCTGGGGATGACAAAGACAAACTGGGGACCCTGGGAGAGTGGGGACACAGACAGGAGACTCAGGAGGTCTGGTGTGGAGGCCTGGGCTGTAAGCAGGACCCCAAGTGCCTCAGAGCTTCCCTCAGGGCTCTGCACCCCTCCTCACCCAGGGCTCTGTTGAGCCCTTGGCTCGGGCCCAGAGGCTCAGGTTTTTGATCCATCGGAAGGCGTCAAGCTGTGTGTACCTTTGGAAAAAGGCCAGGGCTTAGCTTTGTGGCTTCAGAATTCAAGGCTCCATCAATCTGCATGGGGCCAGGGGCCAGGGCAGGGGCTCTGGGGGCTTGCTGCCCAACAGCTGTTCCTGGGTTATTTTGGTCCAGGGGGAGCTTATCAATTCCAGGACACTTGGACCAAAATAGCCAACAGCAGGACAATCTCTTGGTGGCTCTGTGGGGACTTCTCCTTAGAAAAGTTTCTAAATGGGGTTGGGAAGGGAAAGGAGTTTGACTTGGGGTTGGTGAAGGGTCTGAGGCTACACATACCATTCCTTGTTGTCCTTCCAGCCTTGGCACCACCCTGACCACCTTCCTTGGGGACCAAAGCTGGGAGGTGGTTGAGGATGGAGTAGAAATTAAGAGGGAAAGATCATTTTTATTTATTATTATTATTTATTTATTTGCGGTACGTGGGCCTCTCACTGTTGTGGCCTCTCCCGCTGCGGAGCACAGGCTCCGGACACGCAGGCTCCGGACGCGCAGGCTCAGCAGCCAAGGCCCACGGGCCCACGGGCCCAGCCGCTCTGCAGCACGCGGGATATTCCCGGACCAGGGCACGAACCAGCGTCCCCCGCATCGGCAGGCGGACTCCCAACCACTGCGCCACCAGGGAAGCCCGAAAAGATCACTTTTAAACTTTGTTTCTTGACTCTGTGTTCCTCCCCCAAAGCCGGTGTCATGCATATTACCTTTTCCCATCTTACAGGCGGGGCACACGGGGTCCAGAGTGTGGAAGCATTGGAACTGAGGCCACACAGCTGGGAACCCTGGCCTCTGAGGCCTCTGAGGGTGCCTCTCGGCTGGGCCTTGGTTAGATTAGCAGCAGATCCGCGCCCAGGTGGCTGCCAGCTCCCCGACAAACTCAGGGCCAGCGTGGAAACTGCTGACTGGCCCCTGGCTTTCCTTCGGGCCACAGCGGGCGCCCTGGCAGCGCCCACTGGTTGACCCCGCCTGCCTCACGGAGATGGGTTAAGTGCCGGTGGAGGAAAGGTGGAAGGAAGACCAGCCACCCTGGAGCTCCTTGGAGCCCTCTGGAGCCCCGCCCAACCCCGGATCAACAGCCCCTGGCGCGGCCCGCGAGAGCCCGCCGGGAATGCCCTGGCGCAGAGCCAGAGGGACCCAGGTCGCGCTCCCTTTTGCAAGGGATGGCGCGGGGAGCGCGCTTTGGCACCAGGCGGGCGCGGGGGTGCGGGGCGCACGACCGTGACACGCCCTCTGAAATCCACTGGGGCTGGGGGCGCTTAGTCACTGAACTTGGTCGTCGAGTGTTCCGCGCCAAGTCCGCGAGACAGGTCTTATTGCCCGGTGTCGGAAATAAGCTGCCCGGGCGGGGCCGCGTTTGGGACGGCCACTCCGCCACCCCTGCCGCTCCCGCCTCTCTCCGGGATTTTCCAGCGGGTTAATTTCCTGTTCGGGTAAATCCTTAGCGAGTCCCTCGGCCCTCCCTCCCCGGAGCTGCCCCCTCCGCCCGAGCCTCCCGGGCTTCCCTTGTCGGTCCGCGCTGCGCTCCAACGCCCCCGCGCGCCCTGGCGCAAGCCCTCCCTGCCCCGGCAGCCCTCCGGCTCCCAGCGCCTGGTCTCCGGGACCCCGCGCGCCGCCCCGCGCCAGGGCTCGGCCCCAGAGCCGCGTCTGCGTCGCCGCCGCTCGCGCGGGTCCCGGCTATGCGGCCCCGCGCCGCGCCCCGCGCCCCCGCCGGCGCCGGCGCCGCGCTGGGGCTCTGCAGCCTCCTGCTTCTGCTCCCGCCAGGACCCGCGTGCCCCGCGGGCTGCGCCTGCACCGATCCGCACACCGTGGACTGCCGCGACCGCGGGCTGCCCAGCGTGCCCGACCCCTTCCCCCTGGACGTGCGCAAGCTTCTGGTGGCCGGTAACCGCATCCAGCACATCCCCGAGGGCTTCTTCATCTTCTACGGCGACCTGGTCTACCTGGACTTCAGGAACAACTCTCTGCGCTCTCTAGAGGAGGGCACGTTCAGCGGCTCGGCCAAGCTCGCCTTCCTCGACCTCAGCTACAACAACCTGACCCAGCTGGGCGCCGGCGCCTTCCGCTCGGCCGGGAGGCTGGTCAAGCTGAGCCTGGCCAACAACAATCTGGCGGGCGTGCACGAGGCCGCCTTCGAAACCCTGGAGTCGCTGCAGGTGCTGGAGCTCAACGACAACAACCTGCGCAGCCTCAACGTGGCCGCCCTGGCTGCGCTGCCTGCGCTGCGCACCCTGCGCCTGGACGGGAACCCCTGGCTCTGCGACTGCGACTTCGCCCACCTCTTCTCCTGGATCCAGGAGAACGTGTCCAAGCTGCCCAAAGGTGAGCCTGCCGGCCGGACCGGGACACGGGAAGGAGTGAGGCAGAGCGCGGGGAGAGGCCGACAAGGCCCGGGAGCCTAGGGCAGGACCTCACGGTGAGCCTGGAAGGGGAGGCCTGGGCGCCCACGGCCACTGCCCTGGATGAGAGTTGCTCCCGGTGTAACCCTCCCAGGTTCCCAGTCCGAACTTTTCCTCGGACTCTGCTAAGCAAGGGGAGTGGGGAGGGACACATCTGGAATTCTCTGGAGATTCTGGGCCTTGTTGCCCTGCTTTCCCCCCTGTTTCTCCCATAGTGTTTGGGACCTGGATTTCCGAGATCATCCTGTGGGGCTTTGGGTCCTAGCACTGGTGGGTGTGGGTTATTTCTGGGCCCCTCCTAAGTGGAAGACACCCTACTCTGTGGGTAGCATTTCAGCACCCATCTCACTACACTGAACATGGAGAGAGAGCCCGCCAGTTCTAAGAGCTCTCCAAGGGCTTCTGTAACCTGAGTAGGTCTTCGTTTCTCAGCTCCCAGTTTGCTCTTCTGTCTAAAAGGAGTGAGGAATATTCCTGGTGAGGAAAAGCAACAGCTTGCTAAGAGCTGGAAATGCAGTAAAGATTTGCCATTCAGTAGCTTTTCAGCCCAGACGTGAAATTGCTGAACAAAATCTTGTGGGCTGGGGCACACTTTGCTTGCCTGGTGCACTTTTCTGACAGTGACATGGACATACGTCCCCACCTGGCAGACAGGAACATAAGGGCACAGCAGGTAAGAGACCCTGTGAAGGCCAGTGGGAAGGAAGCAAAGGTAGAGCTCAGAGGAGGGGACCCCAGCATCCATAAGGATGAGCCCCATGACAGGGAGCAGGTGAAATGCCCTTAGTTTCAGTGGATTCCAGGCTTCCACTGGTGAGCATGTGAGCGTGGGTCCCAGCAGCGACCTCTCAGAGCCAGACTCCACCTCTCACCTTGACCCCGAGGGTTTGTCAGAACAGGAACCAGAGCTGAAAGACCCACAGTATAAAAGGTGACATAGATGTGGATTTTTCATGGGTAAATATATATTTTTTCCATTTATTGAGAATTCAAAAATGCTGCTCATCTGTGTCCGGAATTCCTGTGCTCGCTTATTCATTCTGTACTGTCACTAAGCACAAATCCCAGGCATTAGGGGCTGTCACTTCTCTGCAGACACGGGCCCCTGAGCTGGTACTTTAAGCCCAGGCTGGCTCTCCCACAGGAGCAAGTCCTAAAAAGATCTGACCTGCAAGGTACAGAGTCGCCTAACTTTAAACTTTGTCTTCACTCACTCCCCAGACCCTCCCCACCAGAAGACAGGAAGGTCCAGATGCAGACTTCACTGTTGAACAGCGGTTCCCCTTGGTTCTGATGGCATCTGCCTTTGCTTCTTGGTAGAGTTGGCATCATGAACCCCAGCTGTCAGTTGAGGTGCTATCATTGGCTTCCACCATCATTCACTCGAGGGCTAGGGGTGACGGGTCAGGAGCTGTGGATTTCAGTCTCAGTTCTGCCGTGGATGGCTGTGACCTTGACCAGGACAGGTATCCTGTCCGGGCTTCGGTTTCTTCATCTTTACAGTGGTTTGGTTGACCTCTGAGGCCTCTACAGAGCCCTGGATTGGAAGGTATACACTGGAGTCCTGGCTTAAAAACTGGGTGACTCTGGGAAAGTTCTTTGACCCTCCTCTTCCTCCTGTGTGAAATTGGGACACAGTGATGCTGACCAATCCAGAGCAAAGAATATAAAATGTTATCCTTCCTACTGTCTGTAATGTAGGAAAGCAAAGAGCCACCAGATGAGGATGTGTGGCTGGGGGTAAGGATGGACGGGTCCAGAGCAAGGAACAGTGTCCAGGCCCTGGGGAAGGGTTGGTCTCATTCAGTGGGGGAGACGATGGAGACAGCAGCAGGGCAGCATGGGGGCTTCCGGCATCTCCTGGGGTGAAGCCCCGAGAGCAGCTCTGACCTCACTGCCCATGTTCTGTGGCCAGAGCAGTGTCCCGAGCTCTGTGAACCGGAAGTGGGGCGGTTGTGAAGCACCTAGCCCAGGCCTTGACGTGGGAGAGCTGAGCTCCCATGTAGACTTAGATTATGACCCTAGATAAGTCCCTGACCTTCTTTGTGCCTCCGTTTCCCTGCCTCTGACTTCAGACTGAAGATCAAAATCCCACAGCGTGTTTGCAGCGAGGGTTGTGCGAAGTCAGCTCTGTCGAGGGTGTGGTAATCTTAGCAAGGAGTAGGTGATCTAGGTGATCGCTAGGTGTCAGTCACCCCCTTCCCTCCTCCTCCTGCATTTGGGCCTCTCATATTTTCACAGGTGCAGCAGGCAAGGGGGCCAAGTGCCCAGACTCTGGCACAGAGCTGCTTGGCTCAAATCCTGCCTCTACCTCTTACTAGTTGGGAGGATTGAAAGGATATTATCTATAAAGTACTTAGAACAGTGCCTGATGCACAGTAAGTACTAATAAGCATTAGTGCTGTTACTATTAGCCCGTTTTCTCTGGAAGGCCCAGAGAGGTGATGCGAGTGACTTGCCCAAGGTCACACAGAGAGTTAGAAGCAGCTGGGAGTGCACCAGGGCCTCCTGGCTCCCCGCCCCCCACCCCTGGCCATGCTGACTACCCACTTCCCACCAAGGAAAGCCAGGCACCATGGGGCACAAGCTCCAAGGCTTTCTAGGCAGGCACCCAGGGGAGGGAATTCAGAGGAAGGAGCAGAGGGGACCCACCCTCATTGTCTTTCCTTCACCTCCCCTGTCCTTCCTCCCCCAGAGAAGCAAATTGAACAAGTGACCTTGAGCAAGTGACCTTGACTAGCTCTGACAGCACAAAAAATGTGATCAGGGCTTCCCTGGTGGTACAGTGGTTGAGAATCCGCCTGCCGATGCAGGGGACACGGGTTTGTGCCCCGGTCCGGGAAGATCCCACATGCCGCGGAGCGGCTGGGCCCGTGAGCCATGGCTGCTGGGCCTGCGCGTCCGGAGCCTGTGCTCCGCAATGGGAGAGGCCACAACAGTGAGAGGCCCGCGTACTGCAAAAAAAAAAAAATGTGATCGTCTGCCAGTGAGCCTCCTTGCTGATGGGAACGCTCAGTCACCTGTCAAGGGCAGCTGGTCCCCTCTGTGCAGGCTCCTCAGGGCTCAATGGGGAAGCGGGGCACGGAGGCATCTGGATCTGAGGACTCAGGGGGAGCCGGCCTGCTGGTGCTGGGTCTGAAGGAAGAGAGCAAGGGGACGCCTGCCAGAATGCCCACTGGCCAACTTAGCAACAGCAAGCAAGCAAACAAACCCCAAACAAGAAAACAAACAAAACTCCAGGATGCCTAATTCACTCTGAATTTCAGATCAACGAGGCATAATATTTTAGTATAAGTATGTCCCGTGCCATGTTGGGATATTCTCACACACAGGATTACTTGTTCTTCTGAGATTCACGTCACTGGCCGTCCTGTGTTTTACCTGGTGGCCCTACCTTATGGTGGCAGTTTGTGGTTTACAAGTGCCGTCTCTTTTAATACAATACCTGTGCCTGGCAAGTACCTTTACCCAAAACTTACCCAACAAGAAGCAAACGAGGTGCAAAGGTCACATCGTTAGTGACTGAGAAGAGCTGGCACTCAGGAGTGTCTGACCCCACTCCTAAAGCTTTCTGGAGGGTGAGAATAGCCCCAGCACTGTCCTACCATCCCCGACTCTCATGGGTGACAGCTGACCTTCCAGTCCCAGATTCTGCACCTAGTCTGGTGGTTCTCCCAGTAGACAGTAGGTCCTGGGCCAAGTGGGACAGTATACCATCAAGGGAACAGTGACCATCCCTCTTTCAGTAGAAGGGCTCCAGACCTGGAAGCAAGAGACCTGGGAAATTGCTCAAGTGACCAGCAGGATAGAGAGGGAGAGATGGGGAAGGTGTGGGGAGACAGGGAAGCATCAGTACCTTCTCAGCAGACAGTGATCTTTAAAAAGCCCTCCAGTCCCTCCCATTGCCTTCCCTTTACAGCAGCCCAGTGAGGTGGGTAGGGAATGAAAACACACGGGTGATGAGAAACCTGTGTGCTAATCACTTAGGGAGCTTGTTTGACATGCAGATTCCTGGGGCCCCAGACCTACTGAATGTGTGCCTGGGGGGGGGTGAGGCCCTGGGATCTGCATTTTAATTCCCCCCACCCCCTGAAAGGGGCTTGCAGTGCACACTCACTAAAGGTTGAAAACTGTGCTGGAGGGGGATGTCATTTTGCTGCAGCTGTGGAAATGCTGTGTGACGTTATACGACTTTCCTATCTCTCTGTGTCTCAGATTTTTCTTTGGTAAACAAAGGAGTATGGGTAGGAGGATTTTAAGGTTCCTTCCAACTCTAAAGTTCTATGGTTTCAAGGGAAAGGGAAGACTGTCTGTGTCTTAAAGTTTGGGAAGTTGAGACCTGGGGAGACCAGGTCCCTCCAGAGACCCCTCTGCTGGAATCCAGGTGGCCGTAGTCTCTGTGTGGTGGGGAGGGGGCAGATCACTCAAGCAGCCCGGGGCTCTGGGCTCACAGGACGTCTCACGTGTCCCAGCCTTGAGCCTGGAGCCTCAGGCCGGAAAGGCCACTGGGTATGAGGAACCATAGCCGGCAGGCAAGGGGCTGTCTCTGTGCTCAGAGGTGCATGGAGCCAGCAGGCTTCCCCGGGGACACAGACCACACCAATCCCTGAGAGTGTATTATGGGAGAAGCCCAAGCAGGAGCTGGGGCCTGGGGGGTGAGGGGTGCCGAATAGTGAGGCACCTTCTGTCACCTCCCTTTGCAGCCGTGGCTTCATGTGGCCTGCAGGACACAGCCCACAGCCGCAGGGGAGAGATCTGAGCTGCAGCTGGGACCTTGACAAGGGAGGTTGTGGGGAGGCAAGGGCTGGGAGAAGTGGAGACTGGGGAAAAATTAAACACGGCTGCATGTCATGCCTTGAGTCCTTGAGGGTGGGTGCCTTGTACCCACCCTGGCCCCTTGGGTGGGTACAAGCCTCCGAGACA